GTTGAAAGCTATTTACAAATCTGATTACGCTTTTTCCTTCCTTCACATTTCCTTTTTTCTTTTTTTTTTAATCCGTCTCAGATTCTTTCTTTTTTTAGAAATATGTTTTATAAATGTAAATGCCATTGGATTTGTAGTTTCTTTTTAAAGAACAACGGATGTGCATAATTAATAAACTCAATGCTTTAGTCTAGTTATACAAAAAACTGCAACTTAACTATAGAAACGTGATGCGTAAAAATTAAATGAGTTTCAAATTAGGTATTTTAAATTAGAACGTAGGTAAATTTTTCATTGAGTGATACAAAGGACAAGAACGAACTTGTTGCTTTTTTTAACACTTATTCTCGAAATTATGTTCTTCACTGTAGCACTGTAATAAGTTCAGTTAACTTTACTTATTACAGTGCTTCAGAAATATACTAAAACGTTAATTATATATATGTATATATTTAAATTATAAAAATCATTATTTCATCTTTATTTTATCACAATACAAACATTTTAATACGATAGGGAACAATAAGGTAGCTAATTATAATTATTATTTTTTGATTTTCTAAAATATATTCTACGACTAATAGAGAAATTCGAACTCAAATAAATTAATTATAATAAATAAATCAAAATATTATTATTCAAATTATAATAAGTTAATGAGTGGAACTCCTGTCAAAGTTCAAGGGAACCCTTGTTTTCCACGGAACCCAGTTTGAAGACATCGACCCTAATGAATCTTATTTAGCAGACTTTATTACTAAAAATTTAAATATGTTACCAATGTCAAAAAAATTTTCTTAGAAAATAACGAAAAGTAAACAGCTATTTCTATTTTACATTTCAGAATCGAAGTTAAGTAATTCTTGAAGTCTCGGCGAAGACTCTCCTGAAAGAAAATAGTTCCAGCATCTTCGGTTGAAAGCTTTTTACAAATCTGATTACGTTTTTTTTCCTACTTTCAAATTTTTTAAAAACAATCTTAGGTTCTTCATCTTTCAGAAATATGTTTTACAAATGCAAATGCTATTGGATTTTGAAAACAAATTTGGTACAGCCAGTGTGTGAAATTAAAAAATAAATATTCAATTTTAGTTGTGTTAAGAACTGAAAGTATTTAAAAATAACTATAAAAACGCAAAATATATAAAAAGTTTTTTTAAGCATTTACTATGCAATTTGCAATATTTTGAAAGTAATTATAATGGTGTGCTGTTTCGATGCATAAAAACACTCAAAGTTCAAAATTTTTTATTGATTTAAATAATTTTTTTCAATATTTATTGGTTTTTATCCAGTATCGATTTTCTTAATTAGGTGGCTTTAATTTATTAAAATTAAAGCCTTTGCTTTAAGTTCAATACTTTTTTAAAAAATTACGCTATTTTTTACGTTTAAATAACAATTTATAGTACGAGACAGATCAGACAGTTTAAAACGAAGCTATTTTTTACCTTTATAGTTCAAGGCAGTATGCATTTATTAGTTTAAGATTGTACAGATAGTTTAAAATAAAAGCTTTTCTTTCGAGTTTAAGAGCACAGATGCACTACTTGAAGTTATGAATTTTTTATCTTAGCGAAGGGGCTTCTTTAAGGTTCCCGGTATCCAATTAATTAATTTTTAGCGTTAATTAACTCGGCAATTTATTTTTTAATCGTATTCCTCCCAATATACATATACATATACATATACATATACATATACATATACATATACATATACATATATATATATTTTAAATCTGAAAGTACGAGATTGAATTATTTTTCTGTTGAAGAACAGTAAGTTCTAGTTTTGGGAAAAATAAATCGTAAGAAGATTTAAAGTAATGTTTTCTATATCTCTCTTGTTCTGATAGGATCTAGCATATTTTTATTTTTTTGAACTGTACTGCTGAGTCCTATAAATAAAAATGATCTGTTCATTCGGGGAAATTAAATATCCTTAAAAGCATATTTTCCTTTTTTCATCCACATTTCCTTTGATTGTTGAATAGGAAGGACCATAAATTACTACTTTTTGTCATATTTTAGAGTTTATTTAATTATAGTTAATTGATTGCAATGACTTATAAAACAACATATCTTATAGTTTTTATTTTATGAGCAAAATATGTAGATGCTTCTGTAGAAATGATGTTATATTTCCTATGTAAGAAAAATTACAGAACTATTATCTTAACTCTAATTTCTATAAATCTGTTTATTCTTAAATTTATATATCTATATCTCTCTATATCTCTATCTCTCTATCTCTCTATCTCTCTATCTCTCTATCTCTCTATCTCTCTATCTCTCTATCTCTCTATCTCTCTATCTCTCTATCTCTCTATCTCTCTATCTCTCTATCTCTCTATCTCTCTATCTCTCTATCTCTCTATCTCTCTATCTCTCTATCTCTCTATCTCTCTATCTCTCTATCTCTCTATCTCTCTATCTCTCTATCTCTCTATCTCNAAACTCCTTTTAATACGAATTTTTTATATGTATGCTCAATTTTAAAATAAAGAAAAAAATATTGTTCCTACTTCTACTTCCAGTTGTAAAATCGTAACAATTCTTTCAGTAGATCAAATTCATTTAAATTTAGCTCAGGGAATTAAGCCATTTTCAATTTCTAGGTTTTTATAAATCTAGAAACAAACAAAAGAACGAATTAAAAAAAATAAGTATTCGTAATTTTAATTTTAATTTTGAAATTCTAACAATTCATTTATTGGATTAAATTCTTTTAAATTTGCCGTAATGAATAAAACGATTTTTAATTTTCAGGTTTCTGCAGATGGAGAAAAGAACAAACCAAACTAATTATCAAAAATTGTTTATTCGAATTTTAAAACAAAAAATATATTTATTTGATAAAACTCTCTTAAATTTGGCACAATGGATTAAAATATATATTTTTTTAATTTACAGGTATCTATTGATGGAAAAACAAGCTAAAAAGAAAATTCTAAGGACTCATTCAAATTTTGATGGTAACAATAGATACATATCTAGTTGTGCAGTATAAATTTACAAAATTACATACTTTATTTTTCGAATTGCTGTTAGATTTAGTTGCAATTTTATCAATCTACAAGTGTGACGCGTAGGTAGAAAAATAATTTATTTTGTATCAAAAAGTCTTAGAAGAAAACCAATATGTAATTGACATAAGTAAAATTAATCCTAAAACTGAAACAAAGGTGCTATTATGTTGTAAAAGACCAATGAACTAGAATAAATTCTTATATATTCGATAGTTGGATTCCGTATCTTTTAACAATGTAGGCGAGAAGATTTTTAAATATTTTCCTAAATACTACGAAACCAATATCGCACAATTATATGGTTAGTAGAAAACTGATAGAAAAGAATGTATTTTTGAATGAATTTTAAAAATATACTTGGATATATAAATTAGATTTACGTATACCATACGAGAAAAAGAAAAACATTGTCTTAAAAGGACTTCCAAAGATTGCATTATAATCGCACAAATCACGAATACAACAGGTATTTCACATATTTTCAGAGAAGCTCAGAAAACCCGAACTTTATACACATGATTCTTATATCTTGTATGAATTAAACAAGCAGAATATACTATTTCAACTCAAGTTCAGTGACTAATTTGATCCCTGCTTTAGAAAACCCGAACTTTATACATACGACTCACATATCTTGCATGAAATAAACAAGCAGAATATACTATTTCAACTCAAGTTCAGTGGCTAATTTGATCCCTGCTTTAGAAAACCCGAACTTTATACATACGATTCACATATCTTGCATGAAATAAACAAGCAGAATATACTATTTCAACTCAAGTTCAGTGACCAAATTGATCCCTGCTTTAGAAAACCCGAATTTTATGCATATGATCCTCAGATCTTGAATGAAATAAACAAGCGAAATATACTATTTCAACTCAAGTGCAGTGACCATTTCAACCCATTCTAGTTAACCCGAACTTTATACATACGATTCACACACCTTGTATGAAAGAAATAAGTAGAATATACTATTTCAACTCATGCTCAGTGACCATTTTGACTCCTGCTCTAGCAAAACTAAACATTATATATCAGATTCACATATCTTTTATACAAAAGAAGCAAAGTATACTATTTTAACTTCCGCCTAAAGATTCTGGACATTCAAAAAATCCACAAAAAATCTGAATAGAATTCGTCATCTGTCTTAAAAGAAGCATTCAAACCACATTCAGTGAAGCACGCCATAGTATTTTATTCAACAAATTCATATATCCTGCATAAGAAAATAAGTATTTTAGTTGACATTGGCATTTTAACTTTCGTGGATGAAGAACGTCAAATCTTAAAATTGATCAATAAAATTGATACATCGTATTAGAAGAAAAAATCATTTCATATAGCCCTATCTAAAGAAATAAGTGCTTTATACATCCAGAACTAAGTGTATTAATTAGAGTATGCAATATATTTAAAGTTACAATCCTTCATTCAAAATATTATATTTTCCCATACTTTTGCAATTCTGGATTTCTTCAAAAACAAATTTTTTCAATATTTTTCGACATCTATTCCAAGTCAGACCAGATACAGCATTTTTAGGCTACATTCAACCTATATAAAGAAACTAACTAAACATGCTATTTCACTCGATCTCTACTTTTTCATGAACTCTACCAAAGACTGTTATGTAATATCTAGACCACAACAGCAATCCAAACCATCTTCTGTGAAACACACTAGAACTCATATCCAGATCCAGAATATTGTTTTCTTTTGCTGCAATATCCAGATCACAACAGCAATCCAAATCATCTTTTGTGAAACACACTGGACCTCATATCCAGACCCAGAGGATTGTTTTTGGTTGCAATATCCAGACCACAACAGCAATCCAAATCATCTTTTGTGAAACTCATATCAGAGCCAGATTTAACGAACTAGATTATCATATCCTACCTAAAGAAGAGTATAATAGTTTCATTGAAGTAAATCCCAATTCCGGGCTGCACAAATAACAAACATGTTTCGACATCGATCGCACAACAGGCATTCCAGCCATCTGCAAAGGAGCACTCCAGACCTCACAGCAGACCCAAAGTCTGATTCTAAGTCCCCTCGCAGCAATTGGAGGACGTCTAGTGCCAACATACCCCACAGAAGAGGCGCTGCTTCCCCGTCATCAGACTCTGCAGTCAGAAGCTATGCTACTGACACGTCTTCCTCATCAGGTGATTGCAGTTTGAGCAGTCCAGCTCGTAGACCTCAAGCTGCAAGTCCGCATCACAACAGATCGTTGTCTTTCAGAAATATGAAGAGGCCCACTCCACACCAAATGCAGTGTGAAGAACTGGGAGTTACAGTGACTGCTACAGGATTTCGTCCCAGGGGATCCACCATGCCATCAGATAGTGCCAGCTACTACTTAGCTCGTCGCAGAATGAGGTAAGTGCTTTGTTCATTTGCAGCCAGTTAGATAAATACAGCAAAAAGAACACTCAAAATAATCAATAAAAAACTCCTTTTAATACGAATTTTTTATATGTTTATAAGCCTGTGTCATTCTGTTGAAGTATGTGGACGATCTCGTCTACATACTTCAACAGAATGACGCAGTCCTCATTTAACGAGCGATGACATACATACGTCCTCAGAATGACATACGTCCTCATTTAACGAGCGATATCTTCAAAGGCAGACATTGTTTAGAGTTTTATAAACATGATCTGAATAGTGCGCAACCATTCTTTTAAATGATATTTAGCAATGCGGGAGAAAAAAAGCTTCAGTGAATGAGCGAAGCAGTCGGCGGTGGAATATATCAGTGAATGGTGAAGCAGTGAATATGTGAATCATGAGCGAATCAGTAAATGGGTGAATTAGAGAAGAAGCAAAACAGTAAATAGGGAGCCGAGGTGACTCAGACGTTCTCCTCCCAATGAGGTGAACCGGGTTCGAATCCCAGAGATGGCTGGTTGATACAAATTCTGCACCTGGTTCTCACCAACCACAGTGCTGACGAAAAATATCCCCAGTGGTAGGCGGATCATGAATTAGAATACTCTTGTCGTCGGGATAACCGTGGGAGATTTTCGTGGCTTTCCTTTCCTTGTAACGCAATTGCTGATTAGTTCCACCAAAAGGCCCTCCACGAAGTCAAATTTCTCCTAATATTTGATCCAGGGGTTTCCTTGTCTTCTGGATCGAATTCAAAACAAAGGAGTTGAACATTAGTAGTAACTAAAACATTGGGTCAGCTATTCAACGATGGTTATAAAAACAGTAAATACGTGAATAAGCAAAACAGTAAATGGGTGTATCAGTGAATAAGCAATTAAATAAATGGGTGAATCAGAGAATGAGGAAACAATAAATAGGTGAATCAGTGAATTTAAAAACTAATAAATGGGTGAATGAGAAAATTGACAAATGACTGAAATATCGAATCAGTTTATAATAAATAAAAAGTTTATGAACGTATTATCTGTGCTGACGGCAGATTGCGAATACTTTACTAAAAAATGCAAAAGATTTATTATTTTCTGGCAGTCTAACAGACGAAAGAAATTATTTCGCTATTTCATTTTATATTGTAAGCAAAAGGCTGCTATTAAACGTGTTGCAGAAAAGTATATATTATCATAAAATACATTAAACATCTTTCTTATAATCAAACACTTTCAAATAATTTCCCAATTTTTACCAGGAGAATATATTAATATTAATGTAAGAGCGCAATTCGAGATAATGCTTTATAGAAGATATTCTTAAAGAAAATCCTTTTGTTGCTTATAGATGGTATTGTCAAACTTTTTCAAAAGAACGTTTGAAGATAAGTTTCCCACTTTTTAGAAAACTTCGTGAATAGTTGAGGATTCTTTGGATCATGTTTTATGCCAAAACTAGAATGCCTATAAAAATAGTGAAAGATGGAAAAAATATTGATTTGTTTTGAAATTAAAGACTAATTTGAATAGAATTTTCCCCACATTTAATGCTGTTTTTCTAACGATACTGAAATATAGTTAAACTACATTTACATTTTTTAAGGAATAATATTATATATATATATATATATTATTTGGCTAGCAAACAAATACAAAAATGTATATGCGTAAGGTAAATTGCATAACAGTTTTAAATAATAAATACAAATAAAGTAATAGTTAACAATGCCTTAATTCAATTAGTTAGAACATTTAATTGCAAATGTGCTTTAGATGGACACATTTTTAGTTTTATTTAAGAAATTAACACTTTCTTTAATATTTAGTTGTTTGTAGGGCGAAATAGAATGAGCTTAAAGTCTTATGATTTAGTGGTATGGCTAAATATTACTCAAATTTCTGAGAAGTAAAATTTGATGTTAGTTCGTAATTTCGTTGAAATTAACTGACTTCCATATTAAAATTTTAACTAGGCTTCCATATCAAAATCAATAAACTACTATAAGACAGTTATGTATTTGCTTACGTAGAGGAAATTTTCGACACTTGCAATTAGGTAACATAAAATTAAGATATTTTCGATGTATTACTAGATTTAGATGGTTATTTAGATATGTACTTGGTTTTTAAAGCACGTAAACAGGCAGTTTATATTTGGTTAGTATCCCTACCGACGTGCAATGAGATTAGAGACCAAGCCTCTCCTGTGGTTATAAGCTAGGTGATTCAGTACAGAGTACTGCATTAAACGACCCTGTATATTGATCTTTTAGTTAACGTTGTGTTATACATAAATATATAGATCACTTAGCTAACTTTGTTATCTTAGAAACCATCAGGTCTCATTTTTTAGCTTATTTCTGATTTCATGAATTGAAGAAATTATTCTCTTACAGGTCTAAAGTAATCTACAACAGCAGTAACCTTACTACTCCAAGTCCACCTATTCATGAACCAGGGGACGAAGAGGATGACGAATACTACTTGTTACGAAGCTTCAGCATCAATGCTAAAGGAGCCATCGTCAACCGAGGAGATTTCATTCGTCAAAGGTCCAGAAGTAATAACAGCGTGGCCTCTACAGGTTCCAGCATGACAGCGGGTAACAACACCTCATGTGCTTCAAACGCAACATCCTACTCATCCGGAGGACAGGGAAGAGGACCTTCATCCAAAGTCCAGATCCTTGGTTCCAATGGTGTTGGGAAGAGTGCCCTCATTGACCAATTTATGAACTCAGAATACATGAATGCTTATGAAACGCACGGTGAGCCCAATTTGATATAAGTTTCTTATTTTTTTAAAAGCCTTTTTTACGTTATTTATTCCAGCACAAAAGTAATTTCTTCGTATAACAGTCAACTATTTTCATTTGTGTTCGATGCTTAGTTTTTTCTACGTTACTTATTCCAGCACAAAAGTAATTTTTTACGTCATTTATTCCAGCACAAAAGTAATTTTTTCGTATAACAGTCAATTATTTTCATTTGCGTTCGTTACGTAATTTCTCTACGTTATTTACTCCAGCACAAAAGTAATTTTTCTACGTCATTTATTCCAGCACAAAAGTAATTCTTTCGTAAAGCAGTCAACTATTTTTCTTTGTGTTGGATGCGTAGTTTTTTCTACGTTATTTATTCCAGCGCAAAAGTAGTTTTTTCGTATAACAGTCAACTATTTTCATTTGTGCTAGATGCGTAGTCTTTTCTACGTTATTAATTCCAGCACAAAAGTACTTTTTCATAAAACAGTTAACTATTTTCATTTATGTTCAATACGTAATTTATTCCGTCATAAAGGTAATTTTTTCGTAACATAGTCAACAATTTCGTTTGTGTTTATTGCGCAATTTTTTCTATGTTATTTATTAGAGCACAAAGGTAATTTTTTATTGAACAGTGAATTCATTTTCTTTGAATTCATTACGTTGCTTACCATGTCATTAAACACAGTAAAAGGCATATTTTCATCGAACGAATTTTTTTCTGCAATTTTTACTGGCAATTGTTTTTGCTCACTACGTTGTTTTCTATCTTATTTACTTTATCATAAGGATATTTCTTCACGGGATAGTCAATTAATTTGTGCTCATAACATTGTTTATTCCCGTATAACAGTATATATCCAGTATATATTACTTATACTCTCAACTCTAAATGTAAGTTATTCCAGAGCGAAAGGTATTATTTAATAAAACAGTCAACTTATTTATTTGGGATCATTACGTTATTTTCACTACTGAACCTATCGTAAATAGTTTTTGCTATCAATGATCTTCCAATTCCAAAACAAATTTTTTTTTGTACTAAAACATTTCGGAATTAACTGTCGAAGTAAGTGTGTAATTTCGCCAACAACACACCGTTCCAGTGATTTCGATCCAGTAGATAATGGACTTGTTACCCCAGCAAATAGTTATCTCCATTACAGGAGTCATTTCGGTGAAATATCTACCCGCCCTTTAATCAAGGAGGACATAGTAGCAGTTTCGGGTCAATATCAGTATTCCAGAGAACATTGATTGAAAATGCAATATAAGGAAGCCGTGTTCAACTGTAATTTTGCATAAGCTCTAATTTCTTATGTGACTGCAAACTCGTTATGAAAAACACAATTCCGATTATGATCAAAATATTGAATGTTTAAAACATTCTTTATGTTAAAAACAAGTCTACGGTCATACGTCTTTTCCTCATCTACAAACTTTTAAAAAGGAATAAAATTTCGATTTTAATTAAAAATATAAATGGCGATTTTAAGTTTCTTTATGTTAAAAACAAGTCTACGTTCATACGTCTTTTCCTCATCAACAAACTTTTAAAAAGGAATAAAATTTTGATTTTAATTAAAAATATAAATGACGATTTTAAGTTTCTTTATGTTAAAAACAAGTCTAGGTTCATACGTTTTTTCTTCATCTACAAACTTTTAAAAATGAATAAAATTTCGATTTTAATCAAAAATATTAAATGACGATTTTAAGTTTCTTTATGTTTAAAACAAGTCTACGTTCATACGTTTTTTCTTCATCTACAAACTTTTAAAAAGGAATAAAATTTCGATTTTAATCAAAAATATTAAATGAAGATTTTAAGTTTCTTATGTTTAAAACCAGTCTATTTTAACTCAAATTTTGCATTCTTTCCATACTTTTTCTCATGTAGCGACAAACCTTTAAAGAAGAATACAATTCCGATTGTAATCAAAAATATTAAATGACGATTTTGAATTTCATTATGTTTTGAAACAAGTCTAACTTAACTGAAACTTTGCACTCCTTCAATGCTTTTTGTTGTGTAGCAAGAAATTGTTTGAAGAAAATACGGTTCAGTTTATGCTCAAAAGCGTTAAATGCTGATTTTAAGTTATATTAAACACCGCAGCAATATGACTTAATTCTTTAATAATTAATTGTCCACGTCACAAGCTTAATTATTTTTCATTTTATTGTTTTACTAGCTTTGAATAAAAATAATAACTATTGTTAGAAAAAATAAATACAATTGAAATCAATTGCTACTTATCCATTTATATTCAAGCACGCCGCCGGCCCATATTTGTAATTGCTTCGTGATAATTTTGGTTTCCAGGCAATAAATAAAATCAATATTAAAAATTATTCAATTTAAAAGGCTCTAATATTTTATTTTATTACACAGATTAGCTTTAACACATTTAGCTTCCTATTTTATTGGAACATAATTTGTCCCATTAAAATTGGAAATCATCTGTCCCAATCATATTCCTTTGGTCGCTACAAAAATTTCATGCTCAGACTTATTTTATAAATTTTTATTTAATTTTGGTCACTATGAAAACTCGTTAAATGTTTTTAGTCAAACTAAACAATTTCTTGCATCATTATAAGGAATGTAATTTTATATGACAAAATACAAAATTATAATCAAACAGGGGGAATAGTTTCGGAAAACGAAATTTATAATTGTGTGCAAAATTTTTTCATTTTGCCCAAAAAGCTCCAGATATGCAGAAATAAACGAAAAGTAAAATTAAATATAAAGGGTCCAAACTTAGGGACAGCTTTCCTGACCAAATTATTTGGACGATGTTTCCCAGATTGCTGCTACCCCCCATATTTTGGGGGTTAGAAATCCGTATATATCAAAAAAAGATATGCTTATTCAGAGAAAGTACATTTTTGTGTCTAATTTCGCAACTTAAAATATCGTCTGCACTAATTAATTAGCATATTTGAGGTCACTTCCTAAACTATTAAGATAGAGTCCAAGAACGAGAAAATCCGATTATTTGATCAAAAGTCATTCAGGATGGTGGTTTTTTTTTTGGCGCACTGTACACGAAATTATTAAGGTTAGAAATTCAATTCGGAAATGTTGAGTTAATATATTATTGATATAAGTAAGAATTGTTTTCTTAATTCTTACGAAATAATGAAAACAATAATGATAATAATATCCATATTCACTTGGCATTGAAAAAATTTTCTAATTCTTTTTCCAATAATATGCTTAGTTTCTCAAGCAAGAACAATGAAAAATAATAGTAAAAATGCACAAGTAAATGAAAAAAAAAAACTTGTTTTGTTTCATTATCTAGTGGGTAAACAATTATGAGAAAAAACGACACTTACGTAAAGAAGCACATTTTCCCGTTTCTTTTCATCATTCGTGCTTTTAATGAAAAGAATTAAATAAAAAAGAAAACAAAATAACAAAATTAAGAAAAAGTCTTTATGTTACCTCTTTTCGATTGCTTGTTATTTGTTTCTTGTTAACGCATAAGTACTTTTTTCTAACTATATTGAATAAATTTTCTTTTATCCATATTGAACAAACGAAGAGGATCCTTTTCTTTCTTTTAGAATTCTGTAGAAATTTATTCGCGTCCTAAGAGGACACTTCATTAAAAATTATTTTGTGCAATAAAAAATCAGCAAAGTTTTCGTTTTTGTAATTTTATTTCAAAAAGTGCATTTTAAAACCCGATTGGAATTATTAAAACAGTAAACATTGAATGAAAAAAAAGCATTTAAAAGATTTCCTCAATCATATAAAACCTTTGGGATTTATATATTTTACGTTATACTAAATTTGCTTAATAAAATTTGTAGATAAGGTTTTTAAAACAGAAAGTTGCCCGAAATTTAAAAATACTCGAAATTTTAAACCAACTCTACTTATTTCCTACAAAACGTGAATATTAATAATTTATTATTATGAGTTAATTATTAATTATGTTATTGTTATAGTGCTATCTTATTATGTTATATTGTTAATTATTAATTATGTTATTAAATATTAAGCTAATAATTATTATGAGTTATGGAAATGATGAAGCAATATAGTTTTTTAGTATAATTATAAATGAATTTATAAAATTAATTTGTTTGAGAAAGAATTAAATTATTTCTAAATAAAGCAGTCTTTACTTTGAACTGTATATAACTGAAGTTAAAACAAAGTCAATGGAGCACAAATATGTCATGTAAACAGGTATCTGACCGTTTTGGTAGTATAATAAGGATAAAAAAGCATTTTTTTTTCAGTGTCATCATTCTGCGTTGTAACCTTAAATAATAACACTGAAGAAGTTTATTTGACAGCGTTTAGTCTTTTTTTCCCGTTTGAATGAATGCGTGAAGAAAGTAATTTACACCATTTACTCATTTTCTGCGTTTCGACGCTGAAGAAGGCGTTTCAACACTATTCATTATCTGCGCCATTTAATCGTTTCCATGTTACTACACTAAAGAAGGATGTTTCACCACCAATGATATGCTTTAACCTCGAGGCTAAATGACGGCAATTTCAAAGGTGTTTCGTAACCATTTATTCATTTTCTGCGTTTCGACACCATTCAGTCGTTTCTGTGTTTCGACACTAAAGTAGGATGTTTCACCACCAATAATATGTTTCAACCTCGAGGCTAAATGACGGCACTTTCAAAGGTGTTTCGTAACCATTTATTCATTTTCTGCGTTTCGACACCATTCAGTCGTTTCTGTGTTTCGACACTAAAGTAGGATGTTTCACCACCAATAATATGTTTCAACCTCGAGGCTAAATGACGGCACTTCCAAAGGTGTTTCGTAACCATTTATTCATTTTCTGCGTTCTGACGCCGTTCAGTCGTTTCTGTGTTTCGACACTAAAGTAGGATGTTTCACCACCAATACTATGTTTCAACCTCGAGGCTAAATGACGGCACTTCCAAAGGTGTTTCGTAACCATTTATTCATTTTCTGCGTTCCGACGCCGTTCAGTCGTTTCTGTGTTTCGACACTAA